TATAGTTCAATACACTGGGACAATGTGCTTTAAACATAGTTATACTTTTCCCTATAGCTTCATTCTTGCTTCATACAAAAGAAATAATGTGTATATGTTTGGGGAATGAAATGGTCTCCACTAGAGCTCAGAGCTGTATTCTGTGTTATCCAATTCTGTTTGACAAATCTGAGTTTGATTTCAATGAGCTAAGTCCCTTCTGTTGATGGTTTTGTTTTATGTATATAGTCATTAAGAGAATCTTTTGTGTTTTTATTACCATATATTAATTATACATAGTAATAGATTTCAGTCTGGCATTTTCATACATGTACATGGTGTATTATGATCAGTCATATTTACCCATCTCCTTCCTGAGTCCTCCTCCAACTTTGACTGATCTCAGTTCTCCTCCTGACATTCACATCTCTCCTTCTACTTTTCTGTCTTTTTACAAAAGCTTTATTTTATGTTTACTTGCGTGTGTTCATGTGTCTGAGAGTTTATGCATAGGAGTAGTGCCTACAGAGGCCAGAAGAGGTTGCTGGATGGATGCCCTGTTGCTGAACTTATAGGCAATTGTGAGCTATCCAACATGGTTGTAGGAACTGAACTCCACAAAACCACCCAAACACTCTAAACCACTTTGCCATCTCTCCAGCCTTCTTTCATGTCTTCCCCCACCCCCATTGACTGAGTGACTTTCATTAGGATATTGGGGCTGCTCATAGGAGCATGGGTAAGAGTTTACACGATCCTGGGTGTTTCACCAGTAGTTACACCAGTGAAGAAAATGTTTCTTCTCTCATCAATCACATTTGATGTATAAATCCTCAGGGAGTGGTGAGATCCCATGAACCCTCTAGACTCCATGACAGGATGTGGAAGGGTCCCATAATCTTAACTTCTGTGAGTTCAAGTGTGAAAACCACCACCAACAAAAGTATACGCCCCAGAAGTCAGTGTTTTAGACCCCCATCTTTGTTGTGACCTTACATTCTTTCCACACCTTCTTTAATATTTCCTGAGCTTTGGAGGAGATTATAATATGAAAGAACTCTTTTTCCTCAACAAAATAGGATCATGGATTTCATAGTGATTTGAAGGTTTTGATCCAGTGAAACAGACTTTATTAAAAATGATAGAAAAAAAGGGGGAGGAAACCACTTGCATTTAGTTGATTCAACAAGCACGTTAAGGAGTAAGAAAAAGGAAAACATTTAGAATAATATGGCTATAAAAGCCGACAACAGAGTAAAAATTTCTGACTTTTTGCTTTTGTTTATTTTTTATCTTTTAATTTTCCTAAGCCATTTAACACAGTGTGTTATTATGCATTGTAACCATTAACAACGCTTAATATTTACTAAGTTGTCACAACCTGAAAGAGGTAAGACTTCGGCTTGAAGAAGACTATATTTAAGGAACATTAATTGTATGTATATTTCTGTTTAAAAAACTGCATTGGGAGTTTTGATTTTCAAGAGGATCTCATGAAGAAGTTAGAGGTACAGAGCAATACAGCTGAATAGTTACAAACATTTCATAGTTGAAAGCAGTTACGTTCCAAAATATATTTATGATACAAGTTTAGTGTTAGGCATCTTTACTTGAACATTTATGCAAGGTTTATAATGATGTCTCAAAGTCAGACGTCTGTTACCACCTAGTTGTCATTATCTAATTTCTTATTTTTAATTTAGAGATATTAATATTTGCCACCTTCTAGAATTATTTTTGTAGTAACCAAAATTACCTTGTTGGATATTTATGGACATCATTTAGAGCTGAAGTCTATATAAATAAGTCTTTTTCCATCATTAGCTTCAACGTCCTATGAAATTTTTACTGCTGTTCTGATCAGAGAATATAAGAATGTGAATCACTAGACACATTTACAATACATTTTTATTCTGTTTATACTTAAAACATATTTTATTAAACTCTGAACATTTGTCTTCTCAAGGGTTACACAGCCTAGACTCCAGAATGGTAGATGACACATATAACATGAATACAAATTATCTACATTTTAGAAATACATACTTTAGATTGGATTCTACAAAGCTCACATCTCAGCTCTTATGTCCAGGACTGTGGTATGAGTTTTGACTTCAAAATTTCAATCACAAAATTATTGTTAAGGAAAACATGATTAATGGTTGCTATAATTTAGAATGCCAGATGTTGCCTCACAGAATGGAGAAAACGTATTTGTGAATGTCCAGTGAGTACATATGTATGGAACTACTTACATATGATCTAGGAGGGGGTTACTCAGATAAATACAGACCTTCGACAGCAAAGCAATACATATTTAGATAAACCAGGACAGATAGAGAATTTAAGTCATATTATACTAGTTGACTTCCAGTTTAGTCATCAAATGAGGCTGAAACCAATCTTCATTTTATAGAACTCTTTAGATATTAGAGTTGTTAAATCAAGATTTTTATTCCTGTACTAATAAGATAGAAGAGATCATAGTGTGTAAGTGGAATCAGCAAGTCTGTCATTAGCAACCCTGGACAAAACTTGTTTCATATTGCTCATTGTTCCCCCCATGTTCAAAATGAGAAAGGCAGCTCTATGTTATAGGTTTAACACAGCAGAATATATTAATTTGTTCCATATAAGTGCTATTAACTATTGTCAAGGTATTACCATACCATCTCCCCATCCCTTTATATTTGCCCTCTGCCCTTGCAACCTCTCCCACAAAATGCAATAAAACAAAATATAAAAGAAAAAAAATCTCCCCATGGAAGCTGTAGTGTGACACAGTGAGTCACACAGTAAACCCTCTAGTCAATACATCTTGACTTAAAAGTGTTCATTGCAATGAGTCATTGGTCTGGTTCAAGGCCTCTGGCTTCTGCTACACTATTGACACTGGACCCTCATTGGGACACTTCTTGGATATCCTGTTGTGGCCCTGTGTTGTGGAGAGCCTATAGCTTTGGGTCTGCAGGACCAGCCCCTTCATGTGGTCCAGCAGTTCCTAGATGGGGTGGATGTTGGGGTGGGCCAACTCATAGCTCTAGTTCTGGGCCTGGGAGATAGCTGAGTTGGTCAGTCCACCAACTTTCCCTCATCATCACCACCCAGGGTGAGTTCTCCAGCACTGCCCTGGCTAGCTCACTGAATGCAGCAGGCAGCAGGGGGTGGGGATAGTTCCCCTGCTCTCATGCCCTCAGTCAGGGCTCACCTGCACCCAAACCCCCAGGGCCAGGTGTGTGCGGGGGGCCCACTCTCCCGAGTAAGGGGTGAGGGATGAGGAGGGCGTCTTTCCATTGTTCACACCATCATATGGCAGATGAGGGCGGGGCAGGACCATTCTCCGCCTCTCAAACCCTCTGGGCCAGCTCACCCATCCCCCTGCCAACAGGTGAGGTGCAGGGCTTGCTCTCCTGAGTGCTGCAGCCTGAAGGGCAGGACCAGCTCTCCAGCTCTCAGGACCTCAGGGCCAGCTCTCCCATCTGCTATAGGCAGTGAGGGAAGGTGGGGTTGATGAAAGCATCTCTCCCTTGCCTATGGTCGCGCATGGCAGACGAGGGGCTGGGCCAGCTCTCTCCCATGCTCATGTTCTCAGGGCTGGCTCACCCACACCCCTGAAAACAGCATCAGCTCTACTGCTAACACAATTTTTAAAATTTATAAATCTGGCAGTTATGTATTTTTCTTATATTTTTGTACTAAAATTTTATCAGTGACACAAGTCATTGGGAAAAATTTAAATTACTGTTGACAGTAATTATGAAATGCCTGAAATATTGTGTATTATAGCAGTTTTTGTTTTGCTTTCACAACATGATACCATATTATTCTAATTAAGATTTTGAAAAATCAATAAACAGAAAAACTTAAGTCTATAAAATAACACTAAGTAAGTGTCCCTAAATGAATTCTTTTTTTTTTTTTTTTTTTTTTTTTTTTGTAGCTAACTCATTAGGAAAGCTGTGGTAGCCACTAGGAGACTGTCAGACAGTACACTAAGTCATATCAGGTCACAATGTATTTGAAACAGTGTTCTAAATCCCTCAGCATTTTTTACTATCCTTGGGAGATCTCTATCTTTTATTTCATTTGTTAGAAAGATAGCTAAAGAAGGGAGATCGTCTCCTCTTCAGCCTGAGTGAGATGAGACAGTTACACTTCTCTAGAACAATCATTCATGAAAAAGCCTTAAAGTATAGGAAGGTATTTAATTCACAGAAGTAAATGAATAAATAAACAGCCTTCACCCGGGGAAGCCAGCTCAGAAGTGACCCTTCTTTTGGTATCCACTGCAGTCAGGTGGAGGGAGCTGCTTTGGTATCCTGTCCCAAGGAAGCAATTTTGCTTCCTGGCTGCTTCACAAAGATGTGAGAAGGATTTTGGATTATTTTTTTTTCTGTGAAGAAAGGATCACCATTAGAGGATATGTATTTAACTTGAAACATTAGACAGTGCATACATCACAATCGCATCACATGATGAACGTGAACGCTGTTTTTATGAATCAGCTAAAAATAAATTTGGTTGAAATCAGAAAAAGAATCTGCTTTATTTATTTGTCTATGAAACTGCCACCAATAAGGTTCCGTGTTACAGATGCTTTGTCCTCTTCCCCTCTTTCCTCTGTGGCTGGGTGAAACGTCACCACTGACTTCACTTGGAACTCTGTAGGCTTCTGTAACATCTTTTAAATTCCTGTATGAAACCTATGTTCCAGTGCTTGATCCATATTGGCAATCACTTTACGACCTTCATTTTTAAAAACATTTTTGGACAGTCTTTCCATTTAGGATACAGGAATTGGTATAAAACCAGACGGTTATATTGCATTTGAGCTAAAAGGCTATTGGTCTGTGGAATTTCCTTTAGCTGGGAACACCTATGAGTCTCTGGTTTCAGTGTTTTCACAGTTTTATACTGTCCTGTTTGTTTTCACTTGAAAGGCAGAGAATTTATCATGAATTTCCATATTTTATGAAGGGCTAACATTTTTCCTTTTTTCATTCCTTTAATTTTTTTTTCAGTTGAAAGAGACAAGGACTTTTCTCATCAGAGAAGGCATTACAAAGAATTTCGGTTTGATCTGACCCAGATTCCACACGGAGAAGCAGTGACAGCGGCTGAATTCCGGATATATAAGGACAAGAGTCACCATCGATTTGAAAATGAAACAATTAAGATTAGCATCTATCAGATCATCAAGGAATACACAAATAGGTATCAACTTCATATTAATTATTTATCCTAGCAAACAAAGACTGAATTTTACTTTAGAAGCCATTGACAAACTGTATGATTCACAGTATGCTTTACTTGGGTGAAGGGAGATTCTGAGCCAGGTAGAGGTCCATTGAAAAGTAAGACTCAGGAGCTGCTGAGATGGCTCAACAGTTAAGAGTTCTCAATCTTGTAGAGGACTAAAATTTGCCTCCCAGCACCCATATCAGGTGGTCCACAACCACCTTTAACTCCAGCTCCGGGGAATCTGAACCTCTCTTCTAACCTCCTTTGGCACTTGATACACATGTGCATACAAATACACAGATAGACACATATACATAAATGAAATTTGAAAATATGTCTAAAATATAAAAAATATTAAAAATTCCTCCAACAGTTTACACATTTTTCTACTATTGACCAATCTGTGTACATAGTCTTTCTTTCTTGGGCTTTTTGTCTCATTTTGTAAATTTGCCTTCCAGTCCAGAAAATTTGTATTTTATTCTATCTACATAAAAGTTTCACATAAATTATTTAAATAATATAGTATTCTTGTACTCAGAGAAGGACTGGTTTGCTGGGTAAAAGGTGGGATATTATATAATTAGTTATGTGTACTTTGAATAAAGATAATTCTACTTATATTAGCATTTGACAAACAACCAGTATATATCCTGATGAAAGATATTTGAGAACTGTATGAAAACAGATGATAGATCAAAACATTAAATATATGAAAATATCACTGATAACTGAATGCAAATGAACCATCAAGTATGAACTTCTGATCATCAATCTAACACAGAAATCATGTGGATAACATCTTTCATCAATGATTAGTTATCTTTGTTGGACAATTGACATGTTATAGCAAGATGCTCTTCCTCTGCCAGTAGCTTCCACTCATGAGATCAAACCTTTCTTACGGTGAACCACTATGTCCTTTGATGAGGCAAATACTTAAGGGTCAGTTTCTTGTTCCTCTTTACCTTGATATCTCTTTATAGTTTCCTCATATAGTTTTTAGATGTTTCTTGTTGTTCTACTGAAATAGTTTCCCAAAGAACATTCCATTGGTCTCTCACAATACTCAGTGAAGATAAAAGGCTGAGGTCAAATACCCCCCTTAGACAACCTGGAGAAGGCTCAAAGTCTTAGTCAGGCTCATGGTTACAAAAGCTATTAATTTTCTTTTAGCTGGTCTTCTTCAAATTATTTGTTAATTGAATTTTGGGTGTGTAGAACTCATTAATATTCCATGGAACACTAATTAAAAATGGTCATTTTAATAAATATTACTCTATATACACTGCTATTTTTTTTAAGAGAACTAATAAGAAAATCAGAAAGATCCATGTCATTTTCTTAACCTTAGTAATTGCTGGCCATGGGTGAATATATATATATATTTTTTTTTAAAAAAATCTTACTATAGTGCTGTTTTTGCTCATTGATTTTTTTTGTTCTTTTTGAGATAATCTCTTGTATATAGTTCAGGCTAGCTTAGAACTTACAGATCTGTCTCTGCCTATCAAGAGATGGAAATTTCAGGTGTGGCTCATAATGTCCGGCCAGTGGTTCTACTTACAAAATTAAGGCACAGGGCCTACATATGTAATGAGTCCTAGAAAACATCTGTTTTGTATTAAGTAATGGTAGTATCCTTTAGAATCAAGTGAAATTTGAAAATAATATTTTGAACATTACTTAATATTTCTACAACTATATAATTTTATCTTACTTATAACTATTTTTCTACAGTGGAAGGAAGAGTATTGTGTTTGTTTTTATCCTCAGCACTATTAACTAGTTTGATCTGAATTAATATTGTGACATTGCTATCATTTATGGTGGGGAGCTATGTATATTTTAAATGGACATTAAGTTGTACTTGGTTATTTAATATCTCAAGTCTTTTTCAAAGGAATCCTTGATATACCTGGTATTACTCATTGGTAATATTTTAATTGACTCTAAATATAGATTTTTTTATTGACCAAAATAAAAAGACAACTTTTATTCGGGTCCTGCTATAGTTTTGAGGTTGAATGTCCCTCAAAGACCCATATGTTAAAAGTGTGATCTTCAGCATGGAACTGTTGAGGGGTGCTCTAGGTCTTTAAAAGGTCATGGGAGCTTTACTAGAGATCCTTCTTCAATTGGGGGATTGCCTTGAAGAGGAATGTGGGACCTTTACACTGTGTTTGTTCATACATTGACTCATGACTGATTGAACAGCTGGTTCAGCCACTGGATCTTACATGCTGTATTCCTTCAGACAAGGTTCCAAAGGTATTTATTGAGCCATTTGATCAGGGCTGACTGGAATTGATAAAATTACAAGTCCAAACAATGCTTTTCTATTTATACATTTATTATTTTCAGTATTTCATTGTAATAATGGAAAGCTGACCAGTACGAGTCAACTGTTTGTTTTGCTCAGGATGTTTTTGCACACACAGAGAGAGAGAGAGAGAGAGAGAGAGAAGAATAGAGAGAAACAACTTTGTGTTGTATGTATGTTAAGTAGAATTCCCAACCCCTCCTCTGCTGTGGGATGTTCTTTCTGTATGTCCTGTGGGAGCCTGTTCTCGGGTTCCTCGTGGCTTTACCCAGCAGGTCCGCATAGAGGATGATTAGGACCACGGGCCTGAGTGCAGGTGTCTGAGATGGTCTGTGCTTGGCTGTGCTGTGGGATGTCTGTATGGCAAATGTGTTGCTCTGATTGGTCAATAAATAAAACCTTATTGGCCAGTGGCTAGGCAGGAAGTATAGGCGGGACTAACAGAGAGGAGAAATGAAAGAACAGGAAGGCAGAAGGAGTCACTGCCAGCCACCACCCTGACAAGCAGCATGAAAAGATGCTGGTAAGCCACGAGCCACATGGCAGGGTATAGAATTGTGGAAATGGATTGATTTAAGCTATCAGAACAGTTAGCAAGAAGCCTGCCATGGCCATACAGTTTGTAAACCAAAATAAGTCTCTGTGTTTACTTGGTTGGGTCTGAGCGACTGTGGGACTGGCGGGTGACAAAGATTTGTCCTGACTGTGGGCAAGGCAGGAAAACTCAAGCTACACTCCTCAGTAAGAAGGACCAACATCAAAATATCAGGATTTCAAAATAAGTCTCTCTTGTATTTCTCAAGCTGTGGAAGGAATTTTTCCCCACTGAGAACTAAGAAATAATTCTCTTTATTTATCCTATTGATTTTTTTCATACTAACTTGACTTTAATTCTGTGAGAGAAGAACCAAGTTAAAAACTCCTCATTTCCACATTATATGATCACAGTTAAAACAGAAAGAATTGCAATACAAGAGTAATTTTAAAATTCAAATAAATCTTTGAAATAATTTACTCTTGTTCACACACACACACACACATACACACACACTTACACACATGCTGTTCCTTAAAGAACTAAAATGGAGGTAGGAAAAGAAAATAATATCTCATGTTTTCAAAATATATGCCATCCCTCGAAGCTTTCATCATCAAACTTGTAACTTTTTTTTTTTTTTTTTTTTGTTTTGTTTTGTTTTTTGAGACAGGGTTTCTCTGTGTAGTTTTGGTTCCTGTCCTAGATCTTGCTCTGTAGACCAGGCTGGCCTCAACAATCTACCTCCCAAGTGCTGGGATTAAAGGCATGTGCCACTGCCACCCGGCCCAAACTTGTAACTTTTTAAATGTAGTATTTCCAGTAAAACTCAGAAGTAATTGAAATCCTCATGATCTGCACTTTTTAGTTCAGTGTCTCTAATGGCATGTATGCATTGTCTTATATGGGAACTCGCCGTCCCTAGGTACTGCGTGTGTGTGTGTGTGTGTGTGTGTGTGTGTGTGTGTGTGTGTGTGAATCCTCGCTATCATTCAGACTGATATTTTGAATATGTTTCACATTTGAGACCCCAGCTGATCTATTAACCAGCTAGTCTGTGAATCCTCCATCAGTGTCATGTAATCACACTGAGAAGTGGACAGAGCCGTTATATCATCTGCATCCCCACTTGTTTATTCTATATAACTTACAACTCTTTACATTATATATTTCATTCCTACCATCTCTTACATCCATGATTTATGCTTATACATATTTAAATGTGTGCAATTTGAAGACGTGTTCTGATAGGTATCCAAGTCTTTATTTTTCCTGCTCAAGAGGTAACACATTTTTCTATCATTTCATTTATTTTAATCGTTTTATATAAAACCAACAGCTCCAAATTCCATATAGAATGCACTGCTCTTCAGTCACACCTCATATATTGACATTATTGAGAAATGAGGTTTCCACACTATTAAATTTTCCAGATCATGCAGCTGAGCGCCACACGCATGCTTTTGTTGAGCAGGCACAGAGGACCTAAGGCAGAGTAAATAAGATCTCAAAAGCTCATAGCCTGGGGGACACGGGATGTGGAGAGCCTGCCTCACACCAACTTTAATAACAATAATACAATGTGCTAAGAACTATGATGTAAGTATGCACTAAGTGATGTGGAAACATGAATGAAAGGAAATGAATTCTTCATGTGGGTGGGTGAGGAGCCTCAGGGGAGGGCTCTAGGGGCTTACCTTTCAGGATGGATAGGAACTTTTTATAGACTGATGAAGGGGTGGATTTCAACTTTAAAATATTATACATTGAAATGTTAAGAGGCCTAAATATCTAATTAATTAAATAATATACAAATGATATGATCAACAGCAAAATAGGTAATGATGGTTCATTTAATGGCCACTCACTGTGTCTGGTGCTGTACTGAAGTGCTACATTTGAATTAGAAATCACACACACACACACACACACACACACACACACACACACACACACACACCGCCCCCACTCCCAAAGAAAATGAGCTTTTTAGGAGTCAACATTTTTTCCTAATGCCTAGTATGGACATAAATTTCTGTCATCCCTTGTAAAGGTTTTAGGCTTGACCGCTCTCCATCATTAGCTTCCTCCCCTCCTTGGTGTGTTTAGTTCAGC